TGTCTCGCGATTGCTCGAGGAAGAGTTGGTGGTGGTAGTGCTTCTCGTTTCTCTTCTTTATTTGACCTGTCAGATCTAACTTTATAATGCAGTTTATCATAAAGCTCATAAAAATTACAAGCCATTTTTTATAAGGTTACATTAGCAATGGTTGTGCTCGTGAAAATCTTGGACCATTTAAGATCGAAGTACCACGTCGTTTTGTACCAGACCTATCAACAAGTATTTGAACTAATCAACGAATATAATAACATGGTTCATAGACCTAATAATTAATCAATAGCTGAAATACATGACGGCTCGTTTTGTGAGTATCAAAATGTTACTGGTTCGTCTAGGTAGTGGGCATCTTAACAGTCCTGTGGTGCTACTTGCCACTAAGATGGTATTGTTGGCACCAGATTGCCGTCGCATTCATGTTATAAATATTAGCCTCAGTTTTCTATCTCGAACTACCACTCTACCGTTTGTATATGGACGATTGTTTTGTTATCTGCTCTACATAAGGGAAGGTGGAAAAATATTTAAGTTGTTGAATAAACACCCAGAATATATAAATTCTAGTCAGAGAAACCAAACGAAACGACGTGTCCAAACTGGCTATGTCACAGAGCGGTACCGAAAGCCATGTAGCAAAAACACTCTCACTCCTGTCACGCTTCGTACGCAAGGAGGGCTCATATGGGGAATATTTTTCGAAAAGCCACTAGTTTGTGCACAGGAAGACAACGGAAACAGCAATCACTTAGCTTGGCTCTGCGAATTGGAATTGTCAATGTTTACGAAACATTTGCTTTGCAGGATAGGTTGAAAGGAAAGCTAATTTTCTTAACAAGAAATCAACGAAATTACGATTCTATTTAACCTGTCTTTCATTTCCAACGAAATAGGAGCGGCTATTAAACGGTGCTTGACTATTTCAGGTTCTAAAGAAGACGAAATACGCCGAACCGTTGGCCATTATGAAACATATTATATATTAATATATTATAAAATATATTAATAACTTCGTTTCTGCTTATCAAAAAAAAAAATCTACAGCAATTGGCAGCCATTGAAGTCTTCAATGTGCGTTGTACAGCACGTCGTCTATTCATAATTTTCTTATACGAATAATAGAATTGTTTAAGCTTCGTTTCCATTATTACTCAAATGTGGATAGAATCCACTATCGATCCATGAATAAGATTCACTCATGTGGTAACTGCTTTTGTTTGGATGTAGCGGCACAAGGGAAACAACAATACTGTAGTATGAGTTGGTTTTCAAATCCCCAATAAATGCTGTTGTTTTTGCAACAGTTTTTATATGCATGGGGTACTACTGTAATGCCGTTTTTCTCAGATGGCGTCTAGCTAATCCGTATAAGAGGATAATATCGTATCAATGATTAGACGTACTAGTTTGTCCTCTTATCCACACTATGTCCTGTTTTATCTGTTATGCGATGATGATATTTTGTTTGCATATAATCATCATGTTCGTTCGGTAGACATGTTTGTTGTTTGGTAAAATGTTTTATGAAAGTTTGCACCAAGTAACTGCAGGAGTCAATTTTCGTGGATCTGCTTGCAAAACAATCACCATATCCCTTACTTTGGCATGAGCTCATATTACAGGAGCAGAGTGAGATTCTATGGAAGAGACTTAAATGAAACGTTCTCCAATGTTTGCGTGTGCATAGCTTTTTTGCGTTAAGAAATCTTTTTGGATAGACTGACCTCTCCTTCCGTTTGGAGACACTGTAGAGAAATTCTTTAATAGAAAACGTACTAAACTGGGGTAGAATTCGCTTCTGCAAATGTTCTCCCTCATTGTTCTTTACCGTTTTCATCGGGCCGGTAAAAAAAGAGAGCACTTGCTCCTTGTTCCGCAGCAAGTACCATCGAAACATTTGGAATTTGAGTGGCCCTGAAATTTCACGGATTTGCAACTCATATTGCTTTTTGCCCTGAATATTGTCTTGTTTATGTTAACACCCGTTTATACTGGTCCATTGTTATCTGAAACATAGACGAGGTTTGTTAAAGTGATAAAACCAGTTCTGTGATTGCTTTCGTTATAAGGTGCGGCATTTGCCCCGATTGGAATTGTTTCCGAAATCAGTTACCTTTACCGTCACTCCTATATGGTTACCGGTCCTTCTATACTAACGCGCTTAATGAAGCATGAGATCTAAAAATCACTTTATTATGGCGTGTTACATACAGCTTTGAAAAAGGAACATGAGTGTTAATAATTTTGACACGTATTTCTAGGGCCACGAAGGCAACACACAGCCAGGCTCGAAGATTATGCTGCACAATTGTTCAGAAGATATGAAGCCACGGACAAAGAAGTAATATTTCCTTAGCTGTTTTCCTTGAGACCATCGTACTTCTTTCATACCGTTGATTTGTTTTGCCACTGATTTTTTTTTGTGAACTTGTCACGATACTCATTTGTTGTTATAAAGTCTTGTTTCCTGTTTTTTTTGATGATGATTCTGATGATTATGGTTGACCGAACTGTGGAAGTTTATCTTTTCTCGATTAACTGGATGATTAATGTATGCAAAGTTTTATTTATGAAATTTGAGCAGCCACTTTTGCTACTGTTTATAATTTTTGTGGGTGCTCAGTAATATAGTACATTTCAAATAGCTCTAAGACAATTTTAGTTGGAAGCACTTATGAATTTGCTGCTAGTAAGTGTTTACTTAAAAATATTTTTGCTTGTAAGCACTTTCGAACTTATTTAAAACATTCCCGCTCCGTACAGCAAGTGATAATTGAATAGCGAATGCCGAATAAGTAGTACAGGTCAAAGATACTATTGCAGTTCAGATGCTGCAGAGCCATTATAGGGATATCGATAATATAGGTAGCGATAAACTCCAAATGAATTTAGCTGCATGACGTAAGTGTTCTTCATCTAGGTGGTGAGTACACATCCACTACGTTGCTTGAGATAGGTTTCTTTTCAAACGTTTGTAATCTATAATCATTTCCCGCGTGTAGCGCAGTGGTTCTCTAACCGCACCCTGAATACACATGGGTTCGATTCGGTGCCCGTGGCCCACCAAGCCTTCTATCCCTCCGAGTCCGGCAAATTGCTACCACACCTGTCTGAGAGGATAGCAGCACTGACACAATACATCGGTACGCCACCGCGAGTCATTGTAAAGGATAGATATGCATTCAGTTACTTCCAGCGATGCTTAATAAAGTCGAATGCATGGCGCATACATCATGGATTGATCAGAACGAAGAGCTTCATTCTTTGTCCTTTATAATCATTTCATTCGATCGACATATTTCAGCTAACGCATCATACTCTTTGATAAGTTTCCTTCCAAAACAGGATCTTATTGTTGTAGGACTAGGGACGGGTAGTGCAATAGTATTAATGGTGATCATCACGAGCACGGTGTTTACTAGATTCCGTAATGAGCTAACTAAGCTAGTCAACCTACTAGGGTCCGAAAATTGGTATCAGGCTTGTCTTAAAAATGTTTATCCTTTGCAATCCAAATGGGAACGCTCTAACTCGGCTATCTCAGGACTTCAAAAGGATCGATTTGATCATCATTCAATTACGTTCACGACGAAAGGAAAATTTTCAAGCAGCAGCACAAGGTGCTCACTAAAAACGAAAATTCGAAGACCTTTAGTGAAGGGTGGATGCGAAGAGACGAATCGAATGGAAGAAGTGCTGAGATTCGCACAGTAGATGTGAAGATGGATCGTATAAAATAAAATAAACAAACTATAAGTGCTTGCGTTTCTCTTTATTTCTTTTCTTGTACCTCGCCTTATGTGTTTTCTTCCCACTTACATGCCCTTCTTCACACTGAATGAAATTTCGGGAAGCTCGTTTCGCTTAAGAGCGGTTTGATGGGCAGGAAAACAACTCGGTACACTCGGGACGTCATCAATTAGAAAATGCATGAAATAAATCTATCTCAGCAAATAGTTTCTCCATTTTGTCTAGCTGTAAACGCTTGAATCCATGTCATATAAATTCCTTAGACTCAGTAGCGTGTCACTCGTGCTCACGAATCGCCAAAAAATTGTTGTTGGAAGGAAACAAAATCTCACATGCGTCAATTGGTGTGTGTTCAGGTTATTCGAGTCTTGCTCTGTGATTGGTACAACTTCATACGAGTGACAATTTACAACGAGAAGAAGTCATCTAGGTGAGTTTAATTCCTTATGTTTTTGCTTATAACTTGAATACTCCGTCGAGGGCTAATTGTAACTTTATCTTAGTCACTAAATTATTTATAATTATTAATATACAATACAATATGACAATTAATCGGACGCATCACGGGGTGTGTATGAAAAATATGAAAAACGTTAACCACGAAAAAAGAACTTCGTGCATACATGACGGTGAGATGGTGGTGCTGCACGCGTCACAGCAACGGTGACATAAATGTAACGCGTAGAACTCTGTTTGGACATTAATCTTTAAACAAATCAAAAACGTAAACGAGCACGGGCTCGATGCGAGGAGTGCTGACTATTACGAACGGAAGGCGAGTTACGTTGAACGAAAACGATTGCTGGTTATACAAGATGATAAGAAACCTCACTATCAGTAAATTTTATGGAACAATGAACGAGTATTAATCAGGAAACCAAATATGCTCTCCTATATATCGGCGTATAAGTAGTGATAAGTCTCCCAGATAATGAAGTTGAAGAATATCTGTGTGTAGGTGGTCGAAATACGACTTAGTGGATAGGGAGAATGGCAAAATACTAGAGGAATGATTCGGATCACAGTGATGCCGGCGGCTGATTGAACGGGGCGTTCGACGAGGGCGTGCCTCCTCAATATGCATAGACAGTGTCACCGTAACAGATTGTCGCAACATCTGTTGACAGACCAAATAGTGAATTTTTAGTTGAAGACTCAACTCTTCTAAATATAACTCTAGCTGACTAGTCAGGGATCACGCAAAGTACAGCGTACGGACATCACCACGTCGTGCACCCCGTTCACTTGTGCGCCTATTTTTTGACTTCGTTGGTCAAAATCTGGAACAGCTCCTTGTCGGCTAGACAACCGTCTACGAATTCCTTGAGTGTTAGTTCCTTATCGTTGTTAACATCCATCTTTTCAAAGATCATTTTTGCTCGCTTTCGTGGTGAATCGTCGGCGGATTTCGTTACTTCTGGTCCGAGCATCTCATAGATGGCCTAGAAGCGAGACCTTTCATCAGAAATATAAGACATCTATGTTGAAAATTCTAACAGAGAACACGAATAGAATCTTCTCTCGAGTGTTCTACGCTCCAGTTATACAAAACGAACAAACTTTTTCTTTTTTAAATGCAGAGTACAATAATGGTATGGACGGTGTTATTTTGGTCAACATGTGGGCTACTCGATGTACTTATAAGCGATATCTAAAAAACTGGACTAAGCGGTTTCTACGTATGGTGATTAAACAAGTAATGTGAAATGACATTGAGCTCTTTCAATAATAGCACGAAATAAGCCCTTAAAAAGTGGAACATGAGATTAGAATGGATACTAGCGAATTTTACTATAAACAATGGGATATCGTTAAGTAGGCACAAAAAAGTACCATTATTCTCAACAGTTTCACGCATTGAAGTACGTCTACTTACTATCTGTTGAAGTCTAACGAAAGAATGATTCTTTCCACTTCTGCTCAGCAAACACGAGGTGCTATTCCACTTCCCCACTCACGTAAGAGCTGAGGTTTCGGCGGATTTCGCCTTTCTCAGAGCCTGGAAAAGTCATGTTGACATTAACCTATTCGGCCAAACACCTCCATAACCAAACAGAGAAAACGCCAAACCAAGATTTCAATCACATTGAACACAGCTCCGTACACTCACCGCTTTCTATGAGTCTTCCACTGAGTATGTCGTGTGAAGACCAACCGCACAGAATTCACATGGAAGCGTAATGTGCCTCTCCCATCAGAATAACAGGTTTATATACTGCCCTATATATATCACGCGTGATAATGAGGCATTCTTCCCTGCGGTTCATTTTCGGATTTCTGGAATTAATCCAGAACGCCTCGAGAGTTTTGCGCGCTTGTGTTCTTGATTCCTGCGCGAGGATGATCCTCATAGAAAGCGGTGAGTGTGCGGAGCTGTGTTCAATGTGATTGAAATCTTGGTTTGGCGTTTTCTCTGTTTGGTTGTGAAGGTGTTTGACCGAATAGGTTGCTGTCGACGTGACCTTTCCAGGCTCTGAGGAAGGCGAAATCCGCCGAAACCTCAGCTTTTACGTGAGTGGGGAAGTGGAATAGCACCTCGTGTTTGCTGATCAGAAGTGGAAAGAATTGTTCAATCAATGCCGAGGTTAATAGAAAGTCGGATGTGGAAAGAATGATTGCCAAGGATAGTAACACCATGACGCATAAAAGGAGAAGCGAAACATCAAAAACCGAACTTGACACGAAGTAACTGACCTCAATGATCTTGATCATCTCTTTTTCGTCTATTGTGCCGTTGCCATCAATGTCGTACATTCGGAACGCCCATTCGAGTTTTTGCTCAGGTGTACCGGAACTGGTTACATTGATGGCTAGTAAGAACTCCTTGAAATCGATGAAACCGCTATTATCAGTGTCGAACGTCCGGAATACGTGCTCACAAAAGCCTTCAGCTGAACCAGATGGGAAGAAATCCTTATAAACTTTGATAAATTGCTCCTTAGTGAGGTGTCCTTTTGGGCAATCTTGCTGAAAAGAGAAATTTCATATGTTTGACCTTAATTTTTGGTTGATCTAATGGAAAAATTAACCCATGAACTTCGTGTAATGACAGGCTTTGGATTTAATCAACGGATTAATCAAGTACTATTGTGGTAGCGTTATAAAAGGAAATCGTTTACACATGACAACGGTTTCCATCGTCAACGATGTTCTGACCGATGTCTTGTTCTTGTTTCTGTTGTTATCAGTGCATATGAACCAGTGGTCGTTGTGAATAACGTGTTTCTTTACATTCTTTGCTAAATCACTTCTTTCTTCCTTGTACACTTCTACACTATCAGTAAAATTTATTACAGTAACGGCTCCAACAGCATCTGTTTCCAGAAATAAGCAATATGATCGAAAACTTACCACAAATCCTTTGTACCACTCTTTAATTTGCTCTTCAGTGAAGTTAGTGTTCTTCTTAAGGAACTCCAAGTCCTCCTTGGAGAGCTTAGGTTTCGAGCCCTTGAGTCCCATTTAGCGCAGCCGTAGCGTTGTGTCAGCAGATCACAGCGCAGTTAGGGGCACGACTCTGCTTGGACAAAGAGCCACTAAAAGAGTTGCGAATGGTGTGATTTGGATGGAAAACGGGTTCAGCAGCACTTTCGGTAGTGGATCAGAAGAAATGAATGCAAAACGATGACGACGGATCCCAACACCACCACCACCACACGTAGAACATGTACTAGAGCCGATCAATAACGCGCTCCAGCGCGAGCGTGGCCGCCCCTATAGCGGTCGGCGATCGATCGCACTCACTACGGTAGCAGGCGGCAAGCGGAGCAATAGCGACGGCTGTGTCCGACAGAGCGCTCTGGATTTGGCAACTAGCACCCGAACAGGCTTGGCAGCCGTCGGCGGCTGGACGACGGACGGACGAGCGGACCGACGGACGGCCGCATCAAGCTGGTGGCTGGCGAGTCCATGTGGTGGCAGTGATGACGGGAGAGCGCATCAGCTGCTTAGATTTTTTTTCGGACAAGCTAATGCAAGACTGAGGTTAGAAACAGAAGAGAAATTCATCGCAGAAACCTGTTGCCAAGCGCTCGCTATAGATGGGGAGAGCAAACAATATAGAGGCGCTTTTCAGACAAAGTGGCAGTCATCTAAACACAAACACCGAGAGCAAAAAACATGGTTTTACCGATGTGTGGAAAGTGATATTCACAGTTAAGACTAACTGTCATATTAGTTATGTAGTTAGATAGTGCTATATGAGAAAAAAAAGCGTAGCACAGCGAGCAATGGGGAACAGAGATCGTAGGCAGCTGGATAAGTTGAGTAGAAGAATGAGAAAAATGACTTATGATGTGCTGGCATATCCCAACAAAAGCAAATGCAAAATTTGCTTAGTCGCCAAAGACCTAGTGCTTGTTGTTGACTAGTAGGCTGTCTGAAAAGGATGTATAAGCTTAGCGCGGTGAAAATGCATTCAACACATGAGAAGCGACCGCTTGCTGTGGTCGTTTATAAAAAAAAGAGAAGTAACACAGTAAACAAGCTATGTGTAATATTACAGTATATTTAGTGCCTAACGGTAAGGGACAGCGAATTTTTTACTCGTTACTTCATGGCTGTGAAGACATCATTTTGTGAAGAACATGACAGTGCACCAAAAAATGAGTACGTCTTGAAGTCCTTTTACCGCTTACACTTTTTTTTTCGGTTTAAAATTAGCTGAAAACAATCTCTGTGGAGAGTATAACAACAAACAAAGAAGTGATCGTCAAGCAATCACTTATTTCTGTCTTCTTAGGTTATTAAGTTCACGAGATTGATAAGAAGATTTGACTAAGGTCTCGACGTCTTCGCCCTAGAACATCGGACCTAAGTGGACCGTCGACTCGGATCATTGGCTATGAGGAAGACGAAGACATCGAAGCGTTAGCCGAATAAATTTTTTCATTAACCTCATGTTAGTTTGATAATCCAAGGAGGTATTGATTATTAATGTCGAGGTTAAATGACGGTCGGTTTGGAAAATATTCACGTATTTCCGTTTTCTGAAAATGTTTCTCTGTAAGCAGCCGAGTGGATGAGCAGTGATGTCTTTTGAGGTAATTACTGACGAAACCTATGTCCATATATGTTTTCGGCCGAAGAAGCTGAGAGATGACAAACCGCGCAGGCGCCGCCTCGGGCACCGTCGCATATCGCGGGCGCGGCAGAACGCGCGACAGACGGACGGACGGGCACCATGCGGATCCGCTCCTACACAGTGGTGCCGTCGTTTCATTCCACTTGCGCATCATTCTTCTCTCCAAATGTCAGTGGTGGTATCGGAAAAAACGAAAAGAAAAAGGCGATACGAAGCATTACTTAGATGACGTAGTTATAGATGCAAAAGAGCAGTTGTGGAAGTTATTAGTGCTTAGTGCTATAAGTGGTTTTTTTTTAAACATAATTTCGTTTGAAATCGTTTGTGAACGCTGTGCATATAAGTGAAATAATCGAAATCCCTCTTCAAATCACAATGAAGGGCGGTACGATGGTCACTTAAAGAACACAAAGTCAGTTTGCCTATTTTTGAGCGATAAGCGCATTGTGGTGCGTCGAGCGCGTGCATTTGAAAATATGACAGATATTTCATACAAGTAGGTTTAGCATGGTTTTGCTTATCGTCCATAGGAAAACCTGAACACGCATTTCATGAAGGAAAGCCGATGAGCTCGTAATTACAAGCAGAGAGGATGTTTTGATCATAGCGTGTAATCTATCTAGAAAGCGGTATATGTAACATCGACCAGCAGTGTTTAGCAGTGGCAACCATACCTGTCCAGCTTATTCGCAAACAACAGGGAGATTTAAGATATGGAACCTTAACAAATGTAGGCATTAAAATTTGCGCCTTTTCTGCGGACGCTCATCTATCTAGAACGCTCAAGAAAATGGGAAAATAGTGTTAACTGTTAATTCCGTCACAGATGATATCGTAGAGAAACTGTTGTTATCTGTTCCATGTAGTGTTGATGGTTTATGGGTGATAAGACTGATTTCCCAGTGAACGGTTGGTACTTTACACTGCTGAAAAGAATATGGTAGTCGTCACCTCGCTGGATTAACCAGCTCAGTGACGCATTACGAAATGGATATGTTTTGTTGAGATTGGAAACGCCAATTACCAATAACGAAAATTACCAACATGAAAAATCAAAAAACAAGAGAAGTGGACGTTTTTGTTAATTGAAATCATCAGCAGAGTTGATAAAATAGAGAGGTGAGAAGCAGTGATTATCATACGTCAATAGTCGACATCGTTTTTGCATAATACCAGTGCTGGTCGTTTCGTAGTATTATTCAACGACTTCATATACGATTTCGGTTTCATGATGACGTCATATCGGATCTACTGTGTGTGGAAGGGCAGTAAATTGAGGAATCCGAAGAAGTATATATAGTTATGCCTCATTTCCTTATTTTCGTTCGCCCAAAACTTGAAGTAATTGGTGAATTTCGTAGTTGATTACGTTTTGGCACACTCCAATTTGCTAGGAAATGGCGCCAGTTATAAAACGTGCCCCGTTCATATATTGATTTCGTTTTTTTTTTCGCGTAATAAAGTGTAATTTTGCAAATAATTTGGTTTTTTTTTTGAATTAGCAATGTGGTTTGAGTGTTGAATTTACATCTTGGAAAACGACTATGTCTTACTGTTGTTTGTTTGTTTTTTCTTATGCAGTTATAGTTTTTGGACTTTATATGTTTATATTTTGGTTGTTTATTACAGTTTTTTCTACTTGGGTTATGACGGTGGCCTACTGTGTATTTACTTGCAGATTTTATTACATGATAGGCTATGAATAACGTTATAGAGTGTTTGAAAAGGAGGAACATGCGCATTGTTTTGTGAATAAGAAAGCTTGCCAATTGATTTTTGGTCTATCCTCGAATGTCGTGAGGGTTTAGCGTTTCGTCTAGTCGAGCTGTTATCTAACGGCCGTCATTTTCTTTGGCGATCGATAATCGGATTCGTGCGTGGGTTCTGCTGTCGGTTTGAAAACCAATCGTCTCTTCTTTCCATATTGTGATTTTGAATGTTGGTTAGTAGTGTTTTTCCTCTAGAATCTCAAAATAGTCGTGCTAACTGCCACGACCGACTTTCTCTTAACCTCGGCATTGATCAAGTAATTTTCTTCGTATTTTTGTTGAGCAAACGCGAGGTGTTATCATTCTTTGTTCACGATTAAGCTGACGTTTCGGCGGATTTCGCCTTCCTCAGAGCCTGGAAAGGTCAAGTTGATAGCAATTGAAATGGTTGACATCGTGGTTTAGAGTTTCTTTGTTTGGTTATGGAGGCGTCTGGCCGAGTAGATTGCTATCAACTTGACCTTTCCAGTCTCTGAGGAAGGCGAAATCCGCCGAAACGTCAGCTTAATCGTGAACAAAGAATAATAACACCTCGCGTTTGCTCAACAAAAATACGAAGTCGTGCTAACCTCTAAATAGGTCATAATCACAGCTAATCGCCTGCCATTCTTGATCGTGCACCATAAGTCTACGACGACAGTGATTGTTGTATTGATCGACCATGGCCGAATCGCATGCAAAAGCATTTTGTAAAATCATCGTACGTTCTCTGTACACAATTATATTACTACGAACGAAGCGAGTATTTTGAAAAGATAGTTTTCGTCCATGTAGATAAATAAATGAAATACAGTTCTTGGCGTTAATCAATCCCTGAGGGATGCGCCATACACTCGACTTCATTAACTATCGTTGGAGGTGATTGAATGCATATCTGGTCCTTACAATGACTCGCGGTGGCGTTTCAAGCCCGTGCTGCAATCCTTTGAGACAAGTCTGGTACCAATTTGTCGACCCCATAGGAAAGAAAGGATTGATGGGCCATGAGCCCGAGGATCGATCCCACTTGTGTGTCGTAGTAGCGCCTCCAACCACTGTGCCACACCGCCCTTCCTTTGTAAACTTTGTCAATGATGTGTAGGTATACCAGTTGGGCTTTCACTAAAACCGATTTAATAGTCCCCTTCGATTCTTCGCCTCTAGTTTCATATTGAGTGAAAAGAGTTAGCACGATTTCTCGTTAACAATGAATGCGTGCTGTTAACGTATTCTAGAACTAAGGCCATTGAAGTTAAAGTACTGTTGGTTAACCATGGTAATTTAACAAAAGTCGAGGAAGTTTATACTAACATGTCACTTGACGAACGATTTCTAATGTATAGAGCGAGGTCAAGGGAACAGCTAGTATTTTATGAGGTGACACTATTGCTTTATAAAGGTAATGTAGAAAAAATAAATGCCAGCAAGGGCAAAGTTATGGTATGGAAGAGTAGATGAACAGAAGGGTAAATGTCGGAACTGTGGACTGTGGATGATACCTGTAATGCAATGTTTAGGGTGTCCTGCAGCACGGATTCTGCCGCTCTCTGGTCCGATTTCGTGCTCCGGGCTCACCAAGCTTTCTATTCCTCCGAGATTTCTTTACTTTTTTTTTTTTGGAAAATAACTCA